GCTGGTGCTTCAAGCTTCGGTTCGATTGGAATGGGAAGTAGGGCTTCAGGTAGCCTAGAAAGCAGTTTGGTGGCCACCGCGGGACGTGGATGGTAGGTGTTTCTAGAAGATGGTTGGAGATTGGAATGCTTAGGTATGTTGAGGTGTTTCTAGAAGATGGTTAGAGATTGGAATGCTCAGGTATGTTTGCTGCGTGGAAACGGGTCACATATGTGACTTGTTGGGCATCGTATGCACATGCATATTTATCTTCAAGATGGTTGGAGGTTCGAACGTTGGCGTATCCTTGCTGTGTGGAGACGGGTCACGCCCGTCACGTGTGCAGTGTTCCTTGCCTCTTGAGCATTGCAGCGTTGTCGTTGTTGTTGTTGTCTTCGCATAAAAAAAACGCTCCGGAATCCGCTCAGTACCTTCTAGTATCCGTACAATCGACGCATACGCCTTCCGTGGTGTGGAGATGGATTGTTAGGGACTACTGCTGTTTCTCGGATAGATATCTCGGGTAGTGCGGGTCAATGGCGAGGCCAGCGGAATGAGATTTTATCGACAATGCGACAAGTTCTTCCGAAGATCAGGGTGTAAATTATAATTAGTGTGTGCTCAGAGCATTAATTTCATCACCACAAGGGCTTCCATTTTTAAGGAGACGGGATTTTTCAAACCTTGATTCCTTGCCAACTGATTTCGGGCTCTTGTCTGTGGATGTGTACGAGATGTGCACTCGTACATGTGCTTCATTTTGTATATAAAAATAAAAAAACAACAAAAACAAAAAAATCAACAGAGACTACGCCGATTGGGACACGTGGGACCTGCGCCTAGGACTGCTGTTGTCTGGAAAAAAAAAGAAAAAGTTCCTTGGTGAGAAAACGCACGCCGTCGTCTTGTGTGACAGGACCCTGCGGACAAACTAGACGTGAACATACAGAACATTGGTCGACGGATCATCCTCGGAAACCTGTTACACTCACTCAACTGTCACAGTACAGTGGCGGCTACGGTTCAAGAGAGACTATTTAAGATAAAAGTACCGATTTAAGATAGTCAAACTGACTTGTCACGACCATGAGAAATACATACATTTCACAGTACGGTCCAAGAGAAAACCGGATTCAAGAGAGAAACACTGGCTTGTCGCGACCCTCTCTTAAACCGTAGCCGCCACTGTACCCGATCGACGTCACACTCACTCAACTATCACAGTACCCGATCGACATAATACCGCATCAGCAGTCGAAGGGCAAGTGTTGGAAGTCTTCGAAGTGAGTCGTTGTCGTTGTCGTCGTTGTTGTTGCTATCTTCACAGGAAATCGTGCCGGGTGATGGGCTTGTCTTGTTCTCTGAAAGTAGCCTACAGCAGTAATTATGTGGTACGTACTTCGTAGTACTTGCACCCGGAAGACCCTCAATATGTTCGCCCGTCCGTTACAAAGTGTCAACGCGTGGCACCACGAGGCGTGTTTTTGTGGTCACATAGATACATGCACACGTTTTTCCCCATGACGCCCCGTCGCCGGGCCCCAGATCAATGGTCTTCATTGATTGGTCAGTCGGGTAGAGCGGCGGTCAATGCTAACATTTAAGACGCACACACACACACACACACACCAGCCCCTTGCCCGTGTGTTACAGCAGTCCCTTGCCGCCCGCCTGACCTCAAAACCTTGTCGAAAAGTACCATATGTACCAACCACAAAAGACCGAAGAGACCAACAAAAACCACACACCCATTGCAACTCTGCTCCGGCACGCCGGTCTGAACCGACTTCAACATCAAGCAGGTTGGAGATGCATGGCTGGATGCATGGGAGATGGGGGATCTCCTCTTGTCAGTTGTCAGCTTGTCAAGCTATTCCCGAGAGCTCGTCGAAGACTCTTCGAGACCTCGGGACAGAGCAAAAAAAGAAATTCCGGGGGATCTCGCATCCGATTCGGCACGGAGATGTGAAACATTTTCTATGATACTCGTCGCGCCGCTCTACCATCATTTAACGCTCACGGCCAGCCACGCTGCCGCGAGAGAGAGAGCTTACAGCGCTAATTTTGGATAGTCCGCTTCATAGAACATGTTGGGTGGTCGGCATCTGGAGATGCCGCCGCGGATTATCCTGCCCCCTCCCCTGTTGAGCAATTGGCCCAAGGGTATGCATACGATGCACGATGCTGTAACAGCCCACACTTATTAGAAACAGGGGGTGGCGAAACCAAAACATACCACCGATCGAGCATATTGCCCTCGGGAATTTCGGTGTTGCTTACGGCCGCTAGAAGGACCGTACTATCGTACAATCAAACCTACCTACCGGCTCGATGAAAAGAGACGTATTATACGGTGTGTAAATGCTCCTGATGAATTGTTAGTATCTAAACGCGTGGTAGATAGTCTATCCCGGCCTGTTTAACATGCGGGTAAAGATGGAGGTCGTTGTGGGTCGAAACGAAAGTACTGATCCTTCAGCGTGGTACACGTGTATTGGTTTAGACGGGCGGGTGCACAAATCCTTCTCGTTGATGCCACTCTTGCACTCGTTAACTTTCGAGAGGAAAACATCGAAGGAAGGCTGCAAGCACCCCCGCAGGAGGAAAGCAAGGAAGGAAAACAAACAAAAACAACAACAACAACAACAACAACAACAACAACTCCGCGACCGTGTGTGTGCCATTGCGTGACCGACAGCGGCTGGGGCGCCGAAAACACATGGTTCAGCGAAAGGTTCTTTAGAGACTGCTGTTGCCTGTCTCCCAGAAAGCACGAGAAATGCTACACATTACCGACAGGAGGGGTGAAATACTCCGCAATAATACTGCCCCCCCCCCCGCAAAAAAAAAAGACAAGACTCACCGGGGAGCAGCTTCTGCCGCTGCCCGCCGCCGCCGCCGCCGCCGCCGCTGGGCGACCTCTCCGGCATCAAGCTCAAGCTTGCCCCCCGCTCTTCCCTCGCGGACGAAGACCTCCTCGACCCGGGAAACACCCCCACCGCGTCCCTCAGGACACACCTGTCCCACGCATCGCCCCCGCCACCGGGGGAACCAGCGGCCTCCCCCAACCTGAGG